GTTAGATCAGAAGTCAGCATTAGTTAGCGTTAGCCCAGTGCTGCTTATGGCCTTGTTGTTTCAGCAACATTAAAGTAAGTTCGCGAGACACATAGATAAAAGACAGGAAGGACAACTACGCAGATTCCAAAGTACTAAGCGTAGTAAGCTTTATTTTACATCAACATACTGAGCTAAATTGCTATCACTCTACTGTTTTGACATTTTTATGCTGTTCTTCAAACTGGTTGACACCATAATAAATCACAAACATGTCTTACCTGTGTGAAAATCTCAGTAGAATAACCTCTATTTCCGCTGCTGCATGAATAAAGATTAAAGATTAGCCTCGCTAGCTAACTGTGTCCATGATCCACAATCTTTAATAAGCGATAGCCCACTTCCGTATTTAGTGTTATATGACTGGACGTTGTAACTGCCCATCAAACTGTTCTGAGTTGTGATTGGATGTCTGTGGCTCATGTTGGCAACGCCGCGTCTTATTGGTCAGACGCTATTGCGTTCAGGAAGGAGTCAGGAAGTTAGTTTCAGCTGGAGGAAACGGAGGCGAACTATCAAAAGGTAAACAATCCCTGCTGACCTCTGTGGGATTATTTTATTAGAGAGTGCTGCATATTTGAGGAGCTGACATTAACACTGACAGCTGTACAGTGGTATTGTGTGTTTATAATGCTTAACTTGTTATCGCGGTTATGTATGAAGCTGGGTCAGCTCGCTGGCTAACTGTCAAGTGCACTTAAATGTGAATAATTGTAATGATTCACAAACCTGCGAACACTGGCTATTGAATATACGTCACAGTTACGTGTGTGTCATGTATTCAGGTTTGCAAGCGCTGATGTTCATGTCACTGCAGGGAGATCCAGTGTAGGACATGCACGGAGCGTTGCGCTTGGCAGTAGTGGCAGTCCCGATGGGTGTCATCCTGTCCCGGACCATGGCGTGGATATCCAGCGGCAGAACACATCCAGAGCTCATCAGCAGGCTGAGGGGTAATGGGCTTATGACAAGGGACCTAAGCTCTGACATTATAGGATCTTTGACTTTAAACCTCAAGGTCCACATTGTAAACATATTTTCAGTGTGACAGCTGGTGCCTTTATACTGTATTTAAAATAAACTAGGAATTTGCAATGTGGACAATAGCTAAGCAGATAATGACAGTCATTATTAATTTTACCTAGCTTTAAAGCTAAAAAGGAAAAAAAAAGAGAAACTACTATACTTAAAATGTACGTACCAACAAAAGCCTAAAATGGCATGCACCAACAAATTTTCGGCAATTTCTACAATCAGGCTTCCACCTCACCGTCTGCGTCGCCAATTTCACGTCTCCAAAATGTTCGTAAGCCTTGGTCAAAGTTTTCCCCATCAAGTCTGTTTTTATAGATCACAACTTTTCCGTGGGAAGTGGCGTACGTCTCTTTCAGGCCTCATTTTGTGCGTATATAATGTTTATAAATGAGACCCCTGGGTTTGGCTCCTGGTAAAAACCTCCTGAACGTCTGTAACTTAAGTTATCAGAGACAACAGGTGAGAACAGATTAGCGGCCCATCTCTGACGTGCCAAACAGCATTAGAGAAACACAGATTTTTACCAGTTTAAACCAGAGTCCATTTGTTTCAGAGAGGAAGAGACCTCTGCTGATAATTCAGCTTCTGGTAAAAACTTCCTTAACTATGAAGGCTGAAGGAATTCCAACCTGGGGAAGTTTCAGCTGGTTGCAATCTGCAGTCCTCACCACTAGATGCCACTAAATCACCCAAAATATTACACACTGCTCCTTTAAACATCAGTTGGAAAGGGTTCAAGGTGTTTACACTTGCAAAGTTCAGAAAACTGTATCACTGAATTGTAATAAGTAAAGTTTTGAAGATGAAGAAAAGACCACATGCATGCTATATCGTGATGTTATGGTGGCCACAGTACCACACAGTTATCAAAATGTGACTCGTATACCACCTAGCTTTAAATAATGGCCCAATACAGTGCTTGAATTCTCATTTTTTCATCTGAAAAGCCGGTATTAATTAGTGTTTCCCATCATATCAAAAGGTAAGGGGGAAACAAATCAATGGGAAAACTGGCTCCAACATCACAGTCTTCATCCTGTACACACTCACATTTTCCACTCCAGCTCAGTGTCATTACTTCCTCTTTTCTCCTCCAGATCATGGTGTGATCCGCAGCAACCGAGTGTTTGATGCCATGCTGGCCACAGACAGAGGAATCTACTCCCTAGACAATCCTTATGCAGACTCACCTCAGTCCATAGGTATTCACTCACTCACACACACACTGATCTATCAATAGGCTATCAGGCGTTTGAGTGAATGCATCGTTTGTTGTGTTGTTTCATGAGCACAGATGTGTGCTGTGATGTGTTATGACCTTTTCTTATCACAGGCTACATGGCGACCATCAGTGCACCACACATGGTGAGTAACCAACACTGAACTGCTTTGAGATGTGAGCAGATGTCTTAAGATGAATCATAATTCACTGCTATACATGTACATGTTTGTGTGTTTTCTCTGTGGGTCTGCTTTGACAGCATGCTCATGCTTTGGAGCTGTTAAGTGACAAACTAACTGAAGGGGCATCGGCACTGGATGTGGGTTCAGGAAGTGGATATCTCACTGCTTGTTTTGCAAGGATGGTAAGCTTTGTATAAACGCTGCACGTTTCCTACCAGTTGGTGTAACATACAGTAAACGAGTGAGTGCAGTAGCTGCATTATTCTGTTGTTGATAGACAGGACCCAGTGGAAGAGTGGTTGGCATTGAACACATCGATGAGCTGGTTCAGATGTCAATAAAAAACGTGAAAGCTGACGACGCAGAGCTGCTCAACTCTGGACGCATCAAACTTGTAGGTGAGTCAGGAGATGTCTAAGTCATGCATCTATCAAATTTTGATGTTGCACAGCTACAAAAGTATATAAAAGTCACACATGCATATGTCCACAGTGGGAGATGGAAGGCTCGGCTACCCAGACGGAGGGCCCTATGATGCCATTCATGTTGGTGCAGCTGCACCTACGGTTCCTAAGGCTGTAAGGACACGTTTGCTTTTACTGTTTGAAAATAGGATAAGAGAAATGATGCACTTATTCAGTCGCATCTAAAGTCTACAAGTGGTCAGTGGTCTCTTAAAATTATTTTCTGTGAAGGAACTTTGATATGCAGAGGACAGAAGTGTCTCCAGAGTTATTATAGTTTTATATTTTTTATTAGTTTTCATTTTTATTTTATTTTATTTTTTTTTTAAATTGAGTTTAGTTTCAGTCAGACTCCAGAGTTGGAGAATTTAGATTTCAGTTTAGTTTTAGTTAACTATGACGATGCTGTGCTGAATTTGCCTCGTGATATTTCTGTTTTCTGCCCTCTCTCTGTTACAGCTCTTGGAGCAGCTGAAGCCTGGTGGGCGGTTGGTTCTCCCAGTCGGCCCTGACGGAGGCAGTCAGGTCCTGGAGCAGTACGATCGGCAGAGCGACGGGACCTTTCTCAAGAAAGCTTTGATGGGAGTGGTTTACGTCCCCCTGACTGACAAGAGGCGTCAGTGGCCTGGGTATTGCACGAAAACACTCCTTAACTTTTCATATTTAAACCAAAATCAGTGAAGGAAAAATCACTCCATCAGATGCCCCTGTGCTCTGTAGTGTTCTCTGCATCATGACTCACATCCACCTCCATCCTGTAGCTTGTCCCTGATGATTTCCATGCTATCCTTCCTTCTCTCCCCAGAGGTGAGCTCTGACTGCAGTGTGGTTGCCCCCGCAGGAGGTGGCGTTGGTGCTGCATCTCTGGGGCCCCATAGCACTCCTCGTGGTTTCACTGAGCTCCGGTCTTAACGGCCACCTGCCCCACTGAGTGGTCACCTAGCAACGTACAAGAAGGATCTCGCTCTGTTTGCCCGACTGGATTGTCTTCCAAGAGTGATAAAAAGAGTGAGTGACGGCTGGACTGATGACCTTACTCCCAGAATCCTCTGAGTCAGTTAGAGAGCGATAAGAATGTGGTGGATGATGAAGAAAGGTTGTCTGAGATCGAAGTGATTTGCAGTAATTATGCAGAAGTCAGTTCAGCTATGAGAATAATGCAACTACAGCTGAAGGAGCTACAGTATGTGTTCTTTGGATGCTTGTGGGACGTTCAGATGAGCGGTACATTTGTGATTTTGTGTGTAATCTTATGTGAACGCTTTGACTATGGATGCAGTAACACATAAAGAGAAACCCAAATACAAGCCGAGGGAGCGAAGTGAACATTTAGTAAATTAACAAAGTAATATATATTTTGTGGTAAGAACTCCTTCTTGATGGTTTCATTTATTGTGTGTTTAGGATATGTGCTGTTGACATTTGTGTCTGTAGAGTAGAGGGGGCAGTGTGCCAAAAACTGATTAATTGAAGCACTTAATTTTTTTGGAACTAAACAACTATTGAATTATGTGTACACTTATACGATTTATTAATAAAACCCACTAAATTTACACTTAATTGTTTTCATTTTCCTACTGAAAATTAATACATCAGGGTCAGAGAGAGCAACAGGAAAGACAAGGAAGGAATGTTTAATATTTAGAACAACAGTAGGACACAGGAATTTAATAATGTTCTACAGTTAATCACAAAAATCAGAATCCAGTTTATTTGCTAAGTAGGTTTTCACATACAAGGAATTTGCTCTGGTGTATCAGTGCATTGCCATCCATCCATCCATCCATCCATTTTTGTCCACTTATCCAAAGCCGGGTCGCGGGGGAAGCAGGCCGAGCAGAGCATTCCAGACGTCTCTCCCCCCAGTGATGCTTTCCAGCTCCTCCTGAGGGACACTGAGGCGTTCCCAGGCTAGATGAGATATGTATCCCTCCAGCATGTTCTGGGTCTGCCCCAGGGCTCCTACCAGTGGAACGTGCCTGGAACACCTCCAGTGGGAGGCACCAAGGAGGCATCCTGATCAGATGCCTGAACCACCTCAGCTGACCCCTTTTGACGCGAAGGAGCAGCGGCTCTACTCAGAGCTCCCTCCAGATGTCCGAACTCCTTACCCTGTCTCTAAGGCTGAGCCCAGCCTCAGAGACAGGGTAATGCATTGACATATTAGGAGAAAATGAAATTAAAAATGAGGAGGATAAAGAACATAAATTTAGAATAAAAAACTGTAATAAAAATTTGAAAAAATACTTAAAATATATCTGAATTTAAAAAGAAAAAAATGTCTTGTATGCAGCAGAAAATAACCTTTTTTTCAATGACTTTGAATAAATGAAAGCAAAACAACATTAAAGTTATCTTTTAAAAATGGGATCAAGAAACAAATTAGAGTAAGAAAAAGTAATAAAAATATTTTTTTTAAAATGCTACAAAAATATGTAGAAAATGTCTGAATTTAAAAAGAAAAAAAAATCCAAAAAAATGTCATTGTTTGCAGAAGAAAATATCCTCATTATTTTTTTCAATAACTTAGGTGTAAAATACTGGGGAAGCAAAACATTACAGTTATCTTTTAAAAATAGTTTTTACAGATTAATAATAAAATAATCCCATTTTACCCTCTGTATTACCTTACTTTATTATCTTTCAAGACACTTATCACACATAATTTTATTAATTTTTCCAGGAAATTCCACACACTTCTCACATAAAAACAAACATTTCAAAACATGAATCAAATTAGGATTATGACTACAACCTCATGTTAGTTTGTTACTCTAGAAAATAATCATCAATTAATGTAAATACTCATTATGAACAGTTGGTGGCGATAATGCCTCAGTAAAAAGGTGATTTGCCCTTGAGTACAAAGAAAAAGAAGAAGAAACAGCAGGGTTAAGCAGTTCGAACTACAAATTGGGCTCATTTGGACTACATGTTTACGTCATCATTATGCGCATGTGACGAGAAGGACCCCTCGTCCAAGAGCAATGCACGTGAGGTCGTCCGTTAGAGATTTTAGAAAATGTAATGCACTGTTATTCCTCTTTCTGGGTCAAACGGGAGTTAGTAGTCGTGTAATTAATAAAACACAGCACCATTGTGTTTCTTTCATTAACGCTAATTCTATTTTAAATCGTCCTTTTTATTCTCCGTGGTTTCAACAGAGCAGCTTCATGATGCAGCAGGCAGCTGTCGCCGCCGACACACCGGCGGAGGTGTTAGAGGAGAAAACTACAACCAAGGTGACGGCAGAAAGTGGCAAACGAAAAAGCGACGAACCTGAGTCAAGTGGCCGAGGCAAGAGGCGGAGAGGAGCGGGAGGGAAGAAGTTCCGTCCCGGTGAGAGATACGTCCCCCCTCCGCAGAAGAGGAACCCTGGTGTCAGCTTCAGCCAGGAGCACTTCAACGAGACCTCCTACTACTTTGAAGGCGGCCTGCGCAAAGTGTGTCCGTATTACTTTGACTTTAAAACGTACTGCAAAGGTCGGTGGATTGGAAAGAGCCTCCTGGAGGTGTTCAAGAGTGAGTTCAGAGCGGAGTCCATTGAGTATTACCAGAAGGCTGCCAAAGAGGGTCGTATCCGGCTGAACAATACTCCTGTGGAGGACCTGTCTGTGGTGCTCAGGGTCAGTGTCACCAGTTCATATGGTTTATGTCTGACATACCCTGTGTTATCACTATGATTAGCATGGTGTAATGAGAATAATTCAGGTTCAAATTCAAATCAGTTGAAGTTTAAAGGCCCAGTTTGTAAGATTTAGGGGGATTTAGTGGCATCTAGTGGTGAGGACTGAACATTGCAACCAGCTGAAACTTCTCCAGGTTAGAATTGATGAAGTGTTCATTGTTCAGGAGGTTTTTACTGTAAGCCAAATTATCCACAGAGGTCTCCTCCTCTCTACAACAAACCGACCTGGTGATTTAAACTGAGAAAACACTGTATAAAGCAGTTTCACTTTCCAAATCAGTGTTTCCCCGACATTGTTCGGCCGCTAGCACAGCACCTGCTTATGTGTGCTCACCTTTTTCTCTGATAACTTCATGTGTACTCCCTTTTTATCTTTATACAGATGCTAAGGAAGTTTTTACTGTGAGCCAAATAGTCTGCAGAGGTCTCTTCCTCTGCTTAAAACCAGTGAAAAAACGAAATAAAGCGGTTCCGTGGGCCAAATCATTGTTTTTTAGATGCTGCTCATCATGGAGTGGCTGACACAAATATGGAAATAGCCCTATCTAGAACCAGTGTTTGGTTTGTCCATTCAGGGCTACTATAGAAATATGACGGTGTAAAGCAACCTTTATACCATAGAACATACTCATGCGGCAGACCCTATGTAGTAGCCTATGCCAGGGTATGAAATTAACAAAATATACACTTTATATTATATACTTTAATGTCAGATGGTGATACTGTTAAAAATATAAATACATATAGTTGTTTCGAAAACCTGGGGGCAATTTTGGCCCCCGGAACATGGCTTTTGGGAGCATTCTTGGATAAATTGCGGGCCAAATGGCCAGTGGCCCTTACTAATTTCTGACACTGGCCTATGCACATGGCATACGCCGTAGAGAACATTTATACCTGTGTGGTGGTGTGTCTGTGTCACTCTGCAGTTACACCTCCAAAACACTAGTCGGCGGCGTAGGTTTCTGTGCAGTGCTTTAAAGTTTAGCTGACCCATACACACATTAAACATGGCTTAATAGAGACAATTTCAAACACAACTACACAAATCAGCTTCACTATAACTAGCAGCATTCACAGACAAACACTTGTCTTTATCTGGACACATTTTCCCCACAAATACAACATGCTAATGTTTTTAGCACAAGCCTATGGCATTTTACATTGTATAAATTAGCCTAGCAGCCAGTGGACTTTTCCTCTACTCATATGAAGCCAGGGACAACAGCAACATTTAACAAAGGTAACACATATGGCTTAGGTTACAGCATAGGCTCTACGTGGACATGGAGCCTACGCCATAGTTACGGTGTCGATTCAACGCAGAGGTACAATTCTACATAACGCGGTGGACTCCTTGGATGAGGTCCTGCTCCCTACATAGCTCCCTATGATTGTTATTTTCTGGTGGTTTTACACCAAAGAAAATATCCTTATTATATTCCACTTCTACTAATATATCTCTCTAAGTCCTACACACTGGACCTTTAACGACACTATAACTCAGGATTAAATTAAAATCAGTTCAAGTTTAATCTAATAAAACTGGGACCTATATAGTGATATAAGTATGTTTGCTGGTTAATGATTGATTTTCTTTTACATGACCTGTAAATATGTCTCTAGCTTTTCTTGTAAATACAGAATACTTTTGTCACATGGCAGAAGTACAGCCAGAAGCTCAACAGCCATTCCTCTCATTAAAGATGTAACCCAACCAAATGCTAAAACCGATGGATTAAACGCATGTTAGAGAAACAGTCACCTGATACTGAGTGCTGTTTGGTTCCAGGTGCGACAGGAAGTGATAAGTAACTATTCTTCTTCCCTTACCATCCACAGAATAATGACCTCATGAGGAACACAGTGCACCGCCATGAGCCCCCTGTAGTCAGCAAGCCCCTGGAGGTTCTGGTGGATGACGGTGAAGTGGTTGTGGTCGACAAACCTGCCTCCATCCCTGTCCACCCCTGTGGTCGTTTCCGCCACAACACTGTGATTTTTATCCTGGGTAAAGAGCGGGGCATCTCTGAGCTGCACACAGTCCACAGACTGGACAGACTCACCTCTGGAGTGCTGCTGTTCGCCAGGACGCTGGAGACGTCGAAGAAACTGGACCAGTTGGTGAGAGACAGACAGGTATGTCATTACAGCTGTGCTCCATTGACTCTAATGCAATCGTTTCCTTCATTTTCAGGCTGGTTTTGTGGATTTGGAGCTAAATGTTGTGCCTGGTTCAGACTACAGAGCCTCTGTCTGATTTTTTTAATAACCTTCTTAAGTATAGACACAACTCATAACCCTCAGCTACAGTATCAATGTAAGTTCTTTGTAGTTACTATTCCAAGCAGTGGAAATAGTGGATGGGGGAAATATTCAAAGTAGGTGCGGAAACTCTGCCCATCAAAATACAAAGAGCTCCGTCGCAAGACTCTGAGAGGACGATGTCTGTTTTCACTTTAATGCATCAGAATTGCATTTTCCATACAGTTCTAAAAAATGTCCTTTACATTTGTGCTTCCTCACAGGTTGAAAAAGAGTATGTGTGCAGAGTGGAGGGAGAGTTTCCAGAGGGGGAGCTGATCTGCGAGGAGCCCATCCTGGTCGTCTCCTTTAAGGTCGGCCTCTGCCGAGTCGACCCAAAGGGAAAGGAGTGCAGGACTGTTTTCCAGAGGCTCAGCTTTAACGGGAAAACCAGCGTGGTCCGCTGTTTACCCCTCACCGGCCGCACACACCAGATCAGGGTCCACCTCCAGTACCTGGGCTTCCCCATACTCAATGATCCCATCTATGGGGCCTCAGCCTGGGGTCCTCACAGGGGGAAGGGTGGGCTGGTGGAAAAGAGTATTGAGGAGCTGCTGCAGGCTCTAGTAGAGGAACATCGCTCTCAGGAAAGTCTTCATCTGTTGGATATTCCAGACGACGGGATTGGGATTGAACCAGAGGCAGAGAAACACAAGACATCTGAGAAAGTAGAAACACTAGATGGCACCTGTGAGACTAAGGAAAGTGGAGACAGCCATCAGATTGACACACAGGTGCAGACAGGCTGTAGCACAAGCAGTGAGACAGTGAGTCAGGGCTGCACAGACCCGAACAGTAACAGTGCCTCACTCACATCTCAACCTACAAAATCTAGTGGGAAAGAAACAGAGGAAACAACCTCTCCAGAGACAAGAGATCACCTGTGCAGTGAATGTAAGGTGGTACGACCAGATCCCACAGAGAAGGAGCTCATCATGTATCTCCACGCTTTACGCTACAAAGGACCTGATTTTGAATATTCCACACAATTACCTGATTGGGCCAAAGAGGACTGGGTCCAGGCTGATTAGAGCCGACCTAATAAACACTTTTAGGTCAATGTCTTTGTGGATGTTTTGTTTTTTTAGACATTTAAAAGTCCGAACAGAAATCATTTAGGAAGTTTTGCTCTGAGGCAGTTTTGATTTTGCTGTGATCAATCTCTGTTGGTTATTCCTGAGTAACGTCTCTGACTGTGGTTTAAAATGCATAAAAGTTTGTTAGCATAACAGGTTTCACATAATTAAGCTTGCAGAAGTATGATGTCCTACCAGCTCCGAGCTGTTAAAGGATAACTTCGGTATTTTTCAGCCTGGGCCCCATGTGTATGTGTGCATATGATTCATAGGTACAACTCGTTTTAAAATTGGTTCAGTATTGAGGGAGGCGGATGCAGCCGGCAGCCGCGAGGTAGATATGGGCCACAATACGAGATATGGGGGCAAATGCGTCCCATATATGTTTGCGCATTAAAAGTGCTTTTTTTCGCCACTGACCAGTTCAGATCACCGGTGCTATCTCTGTAAATAGCATACTAAGCGTTTCGAACATTGTTTATATAACCTTACCTCCACTGTGTCTGTAGCTCTCTCTACTTGTGGGACAGCCGTTTTCTTGAGGAAGAGGTGTTTCGGGATTGGATGTCTTCTCTTCTTCGGCTGGCAGTAGTCATCTTGGGAGAAGTGAGCACTGCAGACCCGATGGTCTGCCAGGCGCAGTGTCTGGACAGGAGTGTTAGCATCCATTTGTAGCACAACTAGCCACAACTTCAGCATCTCACCGTCCGACAAAGGCAGCCTATGAAAGCTGTACGGGGTGTTGCACGACATCCTGTTCTTGCAATTCGGGTAAGCAAAAATACGAACCATTGTGTTCAATCGATGCAGTAAAACCTTCAACTGTACTCCAGGACAACCAGCGCCACTCTGAGCGGCGCTCAGTATGGCTCCTCTGTTTTCTTCAGGCAACAAGCAAAGCTCTCGCGAGATGACGTCACACACAGCCGGTCAGGGAAACGCTTAGTATGCTATTTACAGAGTTAGCACTGGCGATCTGAACCAGTCAGTAGCGAAAAAAGCACTTTCAATGCGCAAACTTATACGGGACGCATTTGCCCCCATATCTACCTCGCGGCTGCCGGCTGCATTCACGTCCCTCAATACTGAACCAATTTTAAAACAAATTGTACCTATGAATCATACGCACACATACACATGGGGAAATAGGGCCCAGGTTGAAAAATACCGAAGTTATCCTTTAATGCCTTAAACATAAGTAGAAAATGGAATTCATTTTCATTTTACCTAGGGGACTGTTGTGCTATCAGAGATGTAATTTAAATTTAATTTCATCCTTCAAGCCTGTAATTTCCCCGTACTCCAAACAAGATTTGAATTCAATAAAAACCCAGTCTGCAGGAAAATAAAAATTTTATTTTATTTCAGTTTTGTGAAAAATTAACAACATAGACACCTGTAAATAATAGTGGTGGTGACCTGTACGTTCTTCCGTTCATAGAAAGCCTGCGATGAATTTCATTCGTCTCTAAGGCAGGTTATTTTCTGCTGAGTGGTTTTTAAGGTGAAGGCTCGTTGCAGAATTGTGATGATACAGTCAAGATGTCAAAAGCAAACACTTCTTACAAAGAGAAAGCTTGAAAATAACGCTGCTTGAAAATAACGCTGCTCGTAGGCACATCAGACACAAGTCTCTTCTTGTCCAGGTCTTTGTGCTGAACCACCATTGCTGCACCTGTTTTTTTAATATACTTTAATATCATATTAAGGACCATAAACTCTTATTTAACTTTTTTAAAGGACACACCCTTTGCACAAAACACACAGTTTCTGTTGTTTCAGAACTGAAACAACCTGTCGAAAGACATTTGGCACATGCTGCTCATGTCATAAATACTGTAACCTGCACATAAAAACAGCTGACGTGATCTCAGTAGTAGGGTGGGGTGGGGTGTAGATAAAGGCTCTCTGTTCCGTAGATTTTCAGTGCTGCAAAGGTCTATGTACAAATTGTTTGCTTTTGAAGCATTGGCATGTGATGGTATAATAACTGCTGCTTGGAAATAGAAATGAGAGCTTCCTCCTCCTCCTCTTCAAAGGCTAAGGCAGACACTGACATCCACTTATCCTGGAGTAGTATGCACCTTGATTTGCCAACAGTGTATAAACCCACGTATATCCGCATTAGAAACCCTTTTTTGCCTTTTTAGTACAGTAAGTAAACATTACATTTTTGGCACTGACACTGGAATAAACAGCATGACACGAAATGCAAACAAGCTGTGACACTACGAATGACACATTACGAACTGCAGCTGTCTGGTTTTCTACATCATTGTCACACACTGTACACATAATCGCCAGAGTGCAAAACTGACTGTTGTTAAGTGACAGTTTGCTACTTAAATGCAGCTCTTTCTCTGTATATCTCATATTTATCTTTTAATATTCAGAAGTCTGTGAATGTATATGGCTCATTGAGGTCAGATCCAGCATGGAGAAAGGCCAGCAACGACACCGTGTTTTGTTACAGCCCAGTCTGTGAAGATGGTAAAAAGTCCCAGGCACAAAGCAAACTCTGCAGCAGCAAGTAGGTGCAGTACTTTTTTTTTTGGTAAGAAAAACATTTTTTTTATTGTCTTCTGTGTGAAAATGCCGGTTTTTAAGAAGTCATGCTTAGATTTGACCTTTCGCTGAAGAGACACTCATGCTCTGATTCTGTAACATATAACAACCTTAACGGCAACATTAGACAAACATGCTGTCACATGTTGCATTTACAGTTGGCTTATATTTCCTGTGAGTAACACAAAAGTGTCAGTGCTCCTTTTGTAGCTTCTATATGCTTGTCTACAGTCTTTTTATCTATATGTAAATTTAGAGCAATTAATGCACAGTGTTTGCAAATATTCCTCCACTTTCGCTCAACACGCATCCTCCCGTTGTCCGTCTCTTTTTATCCAAACATCTGGCAGGTCCGGCTTACTGTTGGGCAAGATGACAACTTCTTCACTCTGACTGGTGCGACCCTTATTACAACTCTCGTAAACTGTTTCTTTCAGTGAGAGACGCAGTGTGTCTCTCTTCCCGTTTAGATGTCCCGGCTGTAACTCAGCTTCTTCTCCTTCCTGTTGCTGTGTGTTGGACGGCCCTGGTTCAATGTCACTCAGACATGTTTCGTTAGAGTCCTCCAGACAGTCGCAGGAGCTCTGGGAGTGATGGTGGGGATGGAGGCCCTCGTTTGTGGTTTGCTTGTCTTTGCAGAGAGATGGCTGGTCAGTGGTCTCCAGTGTGTGGCTGATGATGGTGTCCTCTATGCTGGAGGATGAGGAGAAGGATGTGTTGCTCCAGTGCTTCACCCCACCACCAGACTGGCCTCTGCATGTTTTACACAGCAGCTTGTCCTTCGCTGCGTCGTCTTGTGCCAGGCCGACTGGTCGCAGGGTGTTTTCTTTGTACGGAGATGAAGTCTGGAGGGCCTTGTGTTGACGGCTGCACATCTCCTCGCTGTCCCCGTCCATGCTGCTCCTCCCGCAGTACTCGATCTCATCAGAGAGCACAGAGGGCCGGTTGGACAGCTTACTGGTGCAGGTGCTGTTTTCAAAGCTGTCACTCAGTCGATAGGCCAATGGCTGCAGCTCGTACTGCTCCGGCCCTCTGCCCCCGCCGCCTCCTGCTCCGGTCTGCTTATGTCTCTGCTGACGCTGGTGGTCGGGGTAGAGGTAGCCACCTGCTTCTTTGTCATAACTCCTCCTCACTCTAGATCTGCCAAAGGCTCCGTTAGCAGCCGACGCCGACGATGAACCGGGCTCTGCTGCCGAGCAAGACGACAGCACGCCGTCACTGTGGTCTGAAAAACACGGCAGCATGATGTTTCCGCAGTTTTTCTGGGGCCCACAAAAGCAGCACAGGGACTGAAAGAAGAAGGTTGCGAATCCACATGCTACACATTTCACCAGAAACAGGAAAATCCCCAGTTTTCTGAACAGCAACACCGTGGCAGGCAGCATGATTATCCCCATGGAGAAAAATGCACCAGAAACTATTGCTACGGGACATCCCATCCTTTTAGTGGAGTGTGCTACTTTACCAATTTTGTCTGCATGAGGAGCCAAGCTGTAGGAAATGCAGTAGTTGGCAATAAAGTCAACAGACAGCCCTGCCGCTGATGATATAAACAGAGCCTCAATGCCGCTCAGCTGCCATTCAAGAAGCACAAGGAGGCCGATGGTGACAAAAACACTTCCTCCTACAGCTACAGTCCCGTATATGCTCAGTGGAATATTCCAGGTGGTCAAGAGAAGCAAAGCAAATGTGAGAGCTACTGAGAAGCCAGCTACTACGAGAGTCTCTGAGCTTAAGGCTTGTTGTAGATCAAACAGAGACAGATGACTGATGAACCAGCCGTTCTCCAGCCCCTGTGGTGCCCCTGATATTTCTCTGTTAAACCATGTCAGCGTTTCTCTGTAGAAAAGACTGGTTCTGCTGAAGTTGAAGCTGTAGAGGTATGTGGTTTTGAATGCCAACACGAGGGCAGCGACCCTGCCATCTGGCTGGAAGTACAGGCCTCCGCTGTGGGCCAGATGGCCCTCAGCATACCTCTCTGCCAGCATCATACCGAGGCAGTTCTCAAAAACGCTGGGAGGGTAGGGGAAAGGGATGTCATTACAGCAAAAAGGGAGGGAGTCGTCACTCTCGGAGCACCGTCTGACAGACACCCACTGTATTAGCTGCTCCACAAGACAGATATTGTCTGTCATGACATCCTTATCCTCAGGTGACGGAGGGGAATAAAAGCTTTGGTTCTGAACCCGTCCACATAAGTCTCTCAACCAAACCTGAGCATCTGGCCGGCTCATGTTGAAATCTGGGTCAAGAACCAATGAGCCATTGCTCTTGGGGTTAAAGTGATCCCCGTTATCAGTGGGTTTGACACCCCAAACAAGCATTATCGTAACAGGTTTATCCTCTCCATTCCTCTGTCTCTCAAACATAAACATGTGACGATACTCTGCATCGTATCTTTCAAATGGGTGACTGGAGC